AGCTGGCAGAAAGCATGCAGATGTTCAGTTTCCCAGAAGAATCTCTCCTGGGAGTGATTTAACCTGGGTTATTTTTCTCACGGTGATAGTACTTTGCTGCACTGTTGAAAAGGTATCAAGTCTCCCCAGTGTGTTATGGTACCCTGGTTGAGAGTCACCATACTTAGAGAATGGTGATTCTCCTGGTAGAAACTGAGGATCTGTATGTGGCCTAAGAGTTGAATGTAGTAGAGTAAAAGTAGAAAATATATTTAAATTTTGATTAAAGCAAATTCCTTTGTAATATGTATACTTTGTTCTGTTACTTTACAGTATGTAAACATTATATTAAGCCTGTAGAATTAATCCTTCTGCAGTTAGCCCTTCAGATTTCTTGGAGAAAGTATTGAATTAATCATTGTTTCAACTTTCTTTAAGATTGACAAGATGATTTTTGAAATCTTTGAACATGGATACACTTCAAACTGGAGCATAGCTAATAAGTGAAACCATTAGAAAATTTAAATCTATCAGAATATACCAGGGTACTGTACATTTGCAGTGCTGCCTGTGTGGTTTTTGTGGCTGAACATGAAAATCTTTTAAAAATATGAATCCTGTGTTGGCTTCTTAAATGTAATTCTCTTTGTTTATTGTTTAGGATTGTTATATGTTATTGAAACACAGAAAGTTCTTGATTTAAACATTAACTTAATGGCATCATATATCATCGTTCCCCAAAATGGTTTTTATGAATCTACATCAAATTTACTACTTCTGGATCTTGGTAATCTTAAGGTACACATTTATATTTATGAGTACTATATTGTGGATGTTTGCCGTCTGTTTATTTTAATGGGTTAAAATGAATTTTAATTTGTTGTATATAAAATGTTAAATTAAATTTTCTTATTCAGTTTCAATCTTGAGTGCAAATCATTTAAATTTCTATGGAAGTTCTAAATACAATAAAACATTGATAATTTTGCAGGATGAGGCTCCCCTCTCTGCAAAAATCAGAGTTTGCAGAATAGCTGGGGGTGTACAGAAAACAGCTATATGAGCCTGATGAGGTGCTCCAGCTATTTGATGCAGTATTTATTTCAAAGGGTACTCTGATAAGTAGTTTGAGACCACTAGTGAGCTTTGGGTATGAACACTGCAGCAAAAAAATGAGAAATGTGTTCTTAATTCTGCAACCTGATGTAAATTAACAGTTGTGAACCACTGGGATATGAATGAATTGGGTTTTAACTGTATACTCTAATCAGTTCAGAGTGCAGGTTAGAACAATTAGACTAGTTCTTTGGTAAATGTTTCAGTACTATACAGTTGTACTTTAAAATAGTTTTTTAATGTTGGCATCATTTAAGCTACATCTGACTTGTAAAAGACTGCTCTTTTTGCTGAAATGCTTGCTTTTTCTTCTTTCACTATACTATTCTTCTTTTATTATATCATTTTTGTGGATAATGAAAAAGTGAAATAGGATAATCACTTATAAATATATTATTCCACTAAACTTTGTGGTATTTTAATTTGTTTATTCAATTTTACAGATAATTTAAATTTTTAAGGGAAAAATCAGGCGAAGTTGATTAATCAAATGCTGTCAAAGTACAAACCACATAAAACAGAGTTTTCTGCCAGGGAGATTACCTGCTGCTGAATTGACAAAAATTAAAATAGTATGATTGCCAGAGTAATAGTTCCCTTATTTATATATTGGCAATGTAAATATGTTATTTATAGTTTGGCTATAGTTGGTAGCCTGGCACTTCCTATTAATAGACCTTGTTTTTATCTGCTTACAAATCTGCCAAATTGTAAACACTTGTAGTGGAATTTCTATGCTGCGGGGCTTTTTTTTCCTTTAGTGTTTTAGTTGAAATGGTTCAGCCTTTACTGAGAATGAGGTTAAGGAAAAACGTAGTCACAACAATGTAAAAAATATTCTGTAACCATTTTTTCTGAGAGACCCTAGTATCTTTGTAACAAAAATTTGACATTTGACAGGTTGATCACTCTGGGATGGTTCATTTTGCCACGTGCAAAATATTTGCTCTGATTTGGCCATGTTTATACATCTTCATGAAACTAGATTTCATAGACATTAAGACTGGAAGGGACCTCGTAAGGTCATCAAATCCAGCCCCCTGCCTAAGGGACAGGAAGTCAGCTAGGATAAAATGATCCCAGCAAGATAACCATTCAAATGTTTCTTAAGTGTCCAGAGTAGGTGCTTGTACCACCTCTGGGAGAAGTCTGTTCTAGGCCTTGGGAGCTAAGACAGTAAAGAAGTTTTCCCTTATGTCTAGCCTAAAATGGTCTTGCAGGAGTTTGTGACTGTTTGACCTTGTCATCCCTTGGGGTGCTCTGGTGAACAGTTGTTCCCCCAGATCCTGATGCATACCCTTTATGTACTTACAAGCTGCCACCAAATCACCCCTGACCCTGCGCTTCTCCAGGCTGAAGTGTCCCATAGCTTGCAGATTCTCTTCATAAGGGCTGTTCTCTTGCCCTCTGATCATGCGTGTGGCTCTCTGGACTCTTTAAACCTTCCCCACATCCTTCCTGAATTGTGGAGCCCAGAATTGGATGCATTACTCTAGCTGGGGCCTCAGAACTTCTTATTCCTTGTGGCTCATTGGCAACACAATAGCACTAGGCACAGGTATTGACAGCAGTGAGACTGTATCCTGTGCACACTCAATACCTCCTCTACTGACACTTGATTGAAATAGAGAGAGAGAGGGGAGTGAGAAATGGGCAGAATATGAGAAAGGGGAGCTGGAAGGATCCAGATAGGAACAGAAGGGGATCTGAGAGGTGTGTCTTGGAGCAAAAGAGGTGGGGAAAATGAATTCTGGCAGAAGCATTTCTAACCTTGAAAGCACTCTTTTACAGCATTTGAATTTAATTTAGGAGTCCTGAATTTCTCCATACCTCTGCTATCAACAAATAGCTCTTATCTAGCTGTCAAAATGAGTCACTGCCCTTGTGGCTGGTTCCGTTAATGGGTAACAGTTATCTGTTACCATTTTGTGATGCTAATAAATAGGCTTCTGCAATAGCTGGCTATTGTCAGTATATCTGCAGGTAGATTGCAAAAAAAAAAAAAAAAAAAAAAGCGTTCCTTTGTGATGCCTGGAGTTAAACATTTAAGGCAAACACTTTCACCAAAATATTTATAGTTGCCTGAGTTACCTTGCTGTATTATATAGATAATTTCTCACTGTCTTATAAGTATTGTGTGATTATAAATTCATTTAGATTTGTGAAGTATTTAGTTTGGTACTGTCTATATTAAATAAGGTCTGTGTCATGCACCGAATGAGGAAGATATAAAGAAATATTAAATGGCACGTTCATTGTGTTTATAATATGCAATAATGTAATTAAAGATTGAATTGTAATGTATGGGTATATATACAAATAGGTGTAATTAAGGCTTCATAGGCAATAGGCGTGTGCTAAGCAGCTAGTATTCGCTTTGAATTCGGCCGATTTGGGGGGGATAGTGATTTGATTTGGTGATTCGAATCACTGTCCCAAATCAATTCAGCCGAATCTGATTCAGAGATCCAGCTGTCGCCGAATCTCTGAATCAAACAGGCTCCATCCTCTGCCCACTCTCCCAGCCCAGTCAATGGCTGCCACACCTGGCTCTAGTGTCCTGGCTGTTTTTTAAAAAAGAAAAAAAGCTCCACACTCATTAGCTCCTGCCAGGTGGGGGCGGGGGCGGTGATCCCCACTGCCCACCACTGCCCCTTGCTGCATGGGGGGCTCTGCCACGAGCCCCCAGAAGCCCCAAAGGCTGTGGCAGCAGCCGGTGAGTGCGGAGCTTTTTTTCCTTTCTTTAAAGAACTGGGATGCTGTGGCCGGGCGGGGCAGCCATTGACAGGGCTAAGAGAGCGGGTGGGGGTCAGGGGCGCTATGAGGGGCTGGGGGGAGTAGGCAGGGCATGGGGCCTGGCAGGGGCCCCCCTATTGGCTGGACTCATTTGAGTCCCGTTTTTGTTTTTAGGGTGAGTGGTTTTTTTTTTTGGGTTGTTCTCCCGCCCTGGCGGGGGGTCGGGCTAGAAGATCTATTAGGTCCCTTCCGACCCTGAAACTATGAAACTATGGTTCCCTGCCCCCTCCTCTAGCTCTGCCCCCTACTTACAGCCCTAACAGACAACTATTTCTGGCATTTTTTAAATCTGAGGGCTTGAATCTGCAGCCTCAACCTTCTTTTAAAGTAATGTTTCCAAAGTACTTATGATGCACATTACTGCATATATGAGGAATTCAATTTAAGACCTGGTACATGGAGATTTAGTCTACGAATGGTTTTACCCTGTTAACAAATGCAAGGTTGTAATCTAAAAAAGCATGTGAACACTATTTAAAAAGGAAGTTATTATCTGTGTTGTGGTCTTGTCATAGCAGTTAATGCATGTCTGTTAAAATAAGATTCTTTAATGAAAAATTTTGGCTCCTAAACATGCTAGAATTCTGAATCACTAAATGCAATAAAACGTGGATACTTTGCAGGATTATTTTTAAAGAAAAAATGATTAATTTAAAATTTTAAAAAAATAACAGTAAGCTTACATGCCACAAGATTATAAGTATTCTTACATATTAGAACATAAGAAAGAAAACATGGATAGGCATAGATGTCTGATTTTATACTAAGAAAAGATTAGCTGTGAGGATCCTGCGACATTATGGTAAAACTGATGATATTTAAGAAACTGGAGGATGAACAGTGAGGTGGCAAAATTTTGCAGATGATGTAATTCTTTATGTCATTATAAAAAAATGTAACTCTCTTTAGTTACGATATTCTACCAAACTAAATGAAAGGGTACCCTAATAGCAGATAAAAAAGGAAGTAGCTGTGAGTGGAGTTTATGGCCAACCCAGGTATCCCTAGGGGTGTGCGGGGCCAGGAGCATATCAGCCCGTGTGGGGCTGGGGGGGCTCAATCAAATGCAAGCCTGATTTCTTAAACATTAGACTTTGGGTCATTTTCCAAGCACTGTGGGTTGGGGCTGACTCAGATTACAATGTCTAAACATTCAGGATGAACAAAAGAAAGTATATTGACAGGTGCCATTTAAACTATTCAAGCTTGTTATTGTATGCTAATTATGTTGAGCTGTCTAATAGAAAAAAAAATTAAGATCCCTGATACAGGTTACCCAGAGAGGTGGTGGAAGCTCTATCCTTGGAGGGTTTTAAGACCCAGCTAGACAGAGCTTTGGCTAGGATGATGTAGTTGGGGATGGTTCTGCTTTGTGCAGGTGGTTGGACTGATAACCATCTGAAGTCCCTTCAAACCCTAATTTTCCATGATTCTAAAGAAGCTAGGAAATAATACTGATATTTATAATCCTGTTACATAAATCGATGATGAGACCTAATCTTGACAATTCCTTTCAGTTCTGGTTAACATATTTAAAAATTATAGAGTAGAAATAAAATGTTCAAAGATAGATAATAAACACAGCTAAATGTATTGGGATACTAGAGATTAAACAATGAAGGCAGGCTAATTTTAGATGAGAAGGATGGAGACAGGACAGTTTAAAGATATAAAATTAGTGTTGAGGATATTTGAACCATTACTCATTTATTTCTTGAAATAAAACAGCAACAGGTATTCTAATTAAATGTAAGCGAGATGTATTTAAAACAGATAAAAGTTTTAATGATATTTTTTAAAGTTTTAGATGTATTTGAAACTGGTAAAAACTCTTACATAATCTGTAAGTAATCTGTGGAATTCTGTCACAAATTGCCACCAAATCTGAACTGTTAACAGGATTAATACATGGATTAAGCGTTACCTATGGCTAAACATGAATACAATATTACCGTGTATAAAAACTTATTAAGATTAAATTACGTGGGGTAAGTGATTTAAAAGGGAGGTGATCTTTCATGTTTCAGGGCATAAACTACCCACTCCCTAATAGGATTAATTAGCAGTCCTTCCTAGATAAACTTTCACAGTGGTCCATTTTGGGTTTTCTTGCACCTTGCTCTGAAAAATCTAATTCTGCCCTTGTGTGAGAAGGGATATTGGATTAGTTGGACATACCGATTTGATCTGGTATTTCAGTTTCCATAGTCTTGTTTCATTGATCTCCAGTCAAAGTTGAATGTGATTATTTGTATAGCCAATATTTTTAAACTGACTTCAACTGTTTTTATGATTTTTTTTTTTTTTTTTTTTTTTAAAGATGACAAGTAAAAGTCGTTCTGACCTATCAAATCTCAAAGTAGGCCAAAACACTATTGAAAACATAATGTCAAGAGCCTATGATGTATTTGATATTCAGCTAAGCAGTATACAGCTACTTTATAGCAAACATCGTAAGTATTCATAAAATGGATCTCTTTGCTAGGGCAACTAACAAAAAATATTTTGATAGCTTGCGTGCTAGTATTAAACAGAAATGGTTATACTAGTGGTGTCAGCTGCTGAGTCCAGAAACAGTAAATGTTGTTCTCTTCTTGTTTTCACAAGCAAGGGCCGGTAAGCTATTTTTGAACTTGGGACACCTTAGGACAAACATTTATAAAAAATCTAGCCCTATATGTCTGGTATTCCCAGGCAGGTAATTAAGGCTGACAAATGAGCAGCTCACTGGTGCCTTTACTTCCTTATAAATTCAGAGGTCTGTGTCATTCCCCCTTGGTGTCCCGTCCCGTCCTGTCCCGTCGTCGTCGTCCCCACCCCCCCCAATCCTACAAAGCCTTGTGATCATTTTAATCTGGTCTGGTCCAGATTCTATATAGACCGTAGAATTTTATACCAACTCTCACGTCTAGTCCAATAATTCGCTTTTTTTTTACCTATCCCTTTTACCAAGTCCAAAGCAGATTGTGGCAATGTTCGTAATAGACATTTGATTCCTTTGGATCAGTTCTGTGCTATCATAGGGTAACTTATGAAGAATAGATACACACTGAGAGATCAGAACCCATGACAGAGACCTTGTTTGTAGTTTTTCTGTGTTATGGGGCTTGGGTAGTAGAAAGACAAAAAGCTCTACTGAATATAAAACAAAGCAGAGGTATTATCCACACTTTTTCCTCATGTAATGTGGGTTACGGTGGGCTTACATAAAAGATGAGAACAAAAACCCTTTGTTTTCTACTCAAAGATATCTAATAATAGAAAATGTAGCATTTATGGCTAGAGTAACTCAATTGTATGATTTGAAGAAATATTGCTTTGATGTAAAATACAGCTAATTTATTTTATTTTCTCTAGATGAAAAGTGGCAGGAGGCTCGTAAGCTAAAATGTTCGTCTCAACATATCTTGCAGCCAATGGATTTGAAAGTGGAATTTAGCAGAGCTATGGTTGTCTCTGATGCAAGAATGCCCAAGTATGTTTTCTTTCTGTTGCAAAAAGATTTTCAGTAAATGTCTGTTAGGTTTTTGGAAGAATTATTCCCTTAAGTATAGTGCAGTTGTTACAATATACTTACAGGATTAAGTGAAAACAGTTTTATTAATGATTTATTTCTTCTACCTCACATACTGACTGATCTTTTCAATTTCTATTCTGTGTATTGGTCAATTTATAGTATTTAGCATTGTTTATTTTTACTATGTTCTGAGTGTCAGCTCTGTGGTAAAATTATGTTTAGAAAGTCCACTTCCATAAGCATTTGTTAGATGTCACCATATATTTGGTGTGGGTTGCATTTTATAAATAAAGAATCATAGTATTTCCCAAGAATACAGATCAAATATGTCACAGCCTCTCACCCCAAATTTTAAACAGGTATAGAAGACCTAGAGATTAGGGTAAATCTAAAGTTAATATGTCTGATGGGAGGGAAGCCCAGAGGTAAAAACTTTCTACCAAATAAATCCTGTTCCCTTTTACCTTGAATTTCAAACTTAAAATATAGAGATATTGTTTTCCAGACAGATAAAGGTGTTGGGTTTTTTTGAGATGCAAAGAACAAGAAAGCTATAGACTATTTAAAGTTCTGTGGATGAGAACCAGCGCATTGCATTTACTTCTGTAGTGAAGTAGTAAGAGACTAGCGAGCACTGCCAATGATGTGGGAGTAGATTAATGAAAATGTGGTGTTGTGGTGCCATCTGCTGTGTAAAGCAAGGATGTCCAGAGTTCAGAAATCCTAGTGCTGGTTGTAGGAGCTCAAGTTCTTGCTCTTGCTCCTTGATTCTCTTGGCTTTCAGAGGTGGAAAGGAGGAGCCAAGAAGAGCTGTGGGGAAGAAAAGGAAAAGGCAAAAGACGGAACAAGGCATTGGTGACATCTTTGTCACTTGTACTGTTGCACATCTTTAGTTTTTGTAGGCTTTTTCTTTGTTCTAAAGATCCTAAGCCTGTTGCTTGTTATGGAGTGGTATGAGGTGCTCCATGGATGTTCTGGTGAAGCATTTTGAACATTACCTACTACTTGCTTGCATGTAATCATAGGTTCCTACACTTGATGGCTTGGGTTGTCCCTGCTAGCCCTGAGTTCCTAGTACAGAAGCACAGTGTCTAAGCATTTCTTTACTTCAGAAAGGAGGAAATGAGAGCTCTCTTTGTGGCCAAACACCTCATTTCAATAACATAATGAAATTGTGGTGTTCTGGACTGATCCCTGCTAGGTGGGGTACCTAGGATGAAACTACCTTTGGCACTTGCACAGTGTCTTTCTGCTGGCCTAGGATCATCTCAGCTATCAGTCCTACTCTATGGTAGCTTCTGTATGTCTATTTCTACGTCTGTGTCCAGTTGTTTTTTGGGCCTAAAATCTCTCAGACATTGATTCTGATGAATCCTGTTTCTTAAAACTCTTTGCTCCCTTGATAACCTTTGAATCTTTTTCTTTGTTCCCACAAGATTTCCTTCAACTTCCTTCTCTTCTCGCGCATAGGAATTTATGCCTCAACTGTGGTTTTTTCTCTCTTTCTGTTGTTTCCTCAACTGCCGTTTCAGCCGCTTCCTTTCTACACCATGTCCCACATGCAGTGTCATCCTCTAGTACTTTCATCCTACTTCAAAATTTTTTATAGCTGTGATAAATTCTAATAATATAAAAACTTTTGTCTGTCTGTCTGTAACACTTTATTCATACTGTGATCTGCTGACTGAAACAACTAATCCAAGTGCTCCAAGAGCCTTCGGACAGGAGATGGCGCAGCAGAGTGCCACCACGATGGCAGGGACACAAGGGACAGAACTGGGGGGCAGGGGGCAGGCTGACCTGGCTCCCACTTCCTGCAGGCGGTGGCGGGGAGTACTTTTGTCTGTCTGTCTGTAACACTTTATTCATACTGTGATCTGCTGACTGAAACAACTAATCCAAGTGCTCCAAGAGCCTTCGGACAGGAGATGGCGCAGCAGAGTGCCACCACGATGGCAGGGACACAAGGGACAGAACTGGGGGGCAGGGGGCAGGCTGACCTGGCTCCCACTTCCTGCAGGCGGTGGCGGGGAGTGGGGACCGGG